GCAGCTTTCTTTCTAGATGTCAACAGTCTTTTCCCTTGCTAGTAGTGGCTGCTAGGTCATTTAAGCACAATTAACACCTTTAAAGTGGTCAAGTCCAAGTGTCAGATCACATCCTAATTGGGTTAACAGTCACTGTTAATTTTGTGAATGAAGAAATACACTTTGGCAAATAGAGGGGAATATTGTGCATCTTATTACAGATATTTCTACAAATACATTTGTGCATCATCTCCATCATTATCATCAGCAGAGTTCCTGCTGCTCACAACAACATCAGTGAGGCATGCCTTTGAGTCTCCTACCGTCAGCTATACTGAATATTATTAACGCTGCTTTATTTTACACCCCGAAAAAAACATCATGCAGCACTCCAGTAGCAGGATGCCTCGCCTCATTTGTGCGCACACAGCGCGGTGATCTCTACAGCTCACCAGGATTCCTCTGCCATCCTGCAGTTCATAAAACACATGAGCGACAGAGGCAGTCAGAGGACAGCACGAACCAGACGGCTCTGATGCTGTAGATTAAACTCACGTCAAGCTGCATTCTCTGGCCCACTCCTCTCCACGCTGACAGCAGATGGCCTGCAGGGTAACGTGTCAGCAGGGCACCCACTGCTGTGAGAAAATGTAATTATCTGCAAAAGGCAGACAATAATTTTCAACACAGTGCAGTGATTCACAGCAAGTAAACTTGGATTGACTGTCATAATAATGTGGCTGAATTTAATCAATTCAAATGATATGCTTTGAGGATGCATGAGGTTGCATGGTTATATTAAAAGTTCTTATTTATATACCACTCTCCTGCAGGAGGCTTAGTCGGTTATATATTTGTTTCTATATTTGGTCATTATAATTCCTATGTAGAGCGAGGGGGGCTGTCCCAATCACGCAGCCGTGTCTGCAAAACAGAAACAAGGAAATGTGCCTGACACTCAGACAAGCCATGTCATATTTTCCACAGATAAAAGTAGCGGGCCAGGCACTTGGCTCGCAGCTCGGACTGCCAGGCCATCTGCCGTGCCATTCCACATATTCCCTCTTTCATGTGATGCTTGGGAAGCAAGTCATCCAATGTTTCCATTTACTTGACGCTAGTGCTTATCTCCACATGCCTACTTCCCTGCCATTATACAGCACTACCCATGATGCCGCTGTATATCCTCTTACATACCATTAACCACGTTCTGGGGTTGACAAGGATCACGGCAGAAATGAGCATCACAACCTCTCCATGCTCATTCATCACACAGAGGCAAATTCATGTAACGGATATAACAGGATTTAACAGCAAGAAGAGTGACCCTACTGGAATACCAAAAGTGTGACTGAGTGTGTGGTGAAGGGGCTCTACACTCTGAATCTATGGAAACACATGATTGTACATCAGTGAAGGGGGGAAAGATAGAGAGAGAATGGAATCGAGGTGTTTGCAGAGAGAAAAGGCTGCAGAATTAGGAGATTAAAGAAGCTGCAGGATTAGGCCCCAGGTTTTAATGATGGAAATGAAAAAGCTGTGAACACATTCTCTCAGGCCCTCCTCTCTTCCTCACTGCCTCTCTTCAGAGCATGTGTCTCCTGCTGATGCATGTACGGCCTCGGGGACAGAGAGCAATGCTCTGTATTACTGTAAAAATCATACATTTGTTTATAGACAAATTGTGTGCAAGCACATGTTTCCTAAAGCTACACAACCAGCCTGGAAAACTATTAAAATGAGGATTGGCTTTCACATATTGCAGGTGCGAGTTGCATTTTCAAAGCTTTTGACAATGCAATTTCCCATGCACACATTTAGGGCCTTACACACACTTAGACATTTCAACTCAAACAATGTATATAATAATAATAATTATACATAAGATTTGTATAGTATCTTATTAGAATACCTTTCCTAATGCTCAAAGACGCTTAATAGAGAAATAATTTGAAAAAAGCACTCTAAATTTAAATAATCCGTTTGACTTAGAAGCATTGGTAGTTACTAGGAACATGTAGAATTAGATTACAAAGGAATTGTTGAACTTTAACATTTTAATCATCATTGCACCTTCACATGATGTATGTGGCTAGATGTCAAGTAAAAGGTGTTTTGTTGTCAGTCAACCATTTTCAAAAGAAGATAAATCGGACTGTGCATTCTGATATATTTCAGGTGTGGGAATTGTTCTTTCTTGGATTGTTGCATTACATACATTATTACATTAATCGGTTTTGACAGAGAAAATAACAGATGTAAATGCACTTTTTCATCAAACAACCCCAATACGTTTTTACACCAGTGTGTGTGAACCTGCAAGTGTGTTAGACAGCTTGACTGCCCGCTCTGCATTTATTTTGGGTGTAATAATTAGGTCTCAGTTCTTTTATCTCCCCTAAGCAATATTCCATTAGCACATACGTACCGCCTGCATACAAAGTTTATCTTCAAGTGTGAAACTCTTTCCGACTGCTGAAACCCTGAAATATCCCAAGACCCTCACTGCAGCAATGTATTTCACAAGGATCAATTTCAGCTGAGCTTTAATTGTCAGGAGGCCCGTCAGTACTGGAGATAACTCGTGGCCCCGAGAAATTAGATGCTAATGTATTGCTGGCCATTCGAAATGAATCTGCAAGGAGCTCCTTCATGCAAATGAAAGTGTCAAGAAATGTGTCAGCAAAAAAGCGAAATCAGATACAGTCAAGGAGAGAAGATGGAAAACCGTGCCCAGGAAGTTTGTGGAAGGGTTTCGTTTGACATCCGATGCTTGCCAAAGGCTACTCTGGTCAATACCTGGAAACAAAGGAGAGGTTTCACACTGACAGCCTGACATTTTTCTTCTAGGAGTTATGTATTTAATCAGATGCTGTTTCAATGAGTGACACTGAAAATGATTTGTTCAAAGTCCTGGCCTTGGATCGTTCATAGGGGGAAGGGATTGATTTAGGTTTTATCGTCTTTGCCCTGGGTGCCAATCAAGTGAAAACTTTAGGAAATGACTTTAAAGACCGACCTCACGGTTAGCTTCACATCTGTCCGGTGATAATCACCACTGCTACAATTGGTAGGTTTGATCTTTCAGGTTTAAATATTCTGTCAAATAATGTTTTCTCTGTCAGTCCTGCTCCAGACTGCTCTACCTCTTCATTTCAAAGCACAAGTATTCCCTTTGTTGAACGGCTCAGCCTATCAACTTCAGAGATAAAATCCTCACAGTGCATCCATAATAAGTGAAAAGGCCAGCTTCAGGGGGTTGTACCAAAAAAGACAAAGGGTGAAAGAGAATTGAGAAGTGTAAGGATGCCTATGGAGTGGCCACAATGCAACTCAAGGACTGGTTTTGGACAGAGGTGAGTGTTTTGTCTGACACGACTCCATCACAGCAGACGGCGCAGTCTCTGCATAAACAGGAATTTTAAGTCGGGAAGACTTGTTGTTCCAATCCTCTGCATGCAGCCTGACTCAGACGCTCTAACGAAACTCCTCCGAGCTCGGGAGCCCGGCCAGCGCTCCGTCTCTGTCTAAGCCCATGCTGAAAGATGAGAAATACGAGAAAAGTAGCTGATGAGACAATACTCTCTAATGAGCTGTGAAGAAGAATCTTTTCTATGGATTTCTCCGCAATCGCCAGCCAGTTGGAGACGATGGAGAGATGACGGTGTGAAATGTTTCCGCAAAGCCTGACTGGATGGTATTAAATTGTTGCTATAGTGTCGTTTGTAAGAGGAGACGCCTGCTGTTAAGACACTCTTTGGGACTGTGACAAACCCTAATCTGTTGTTAATCCTCTTCCCAGGGCACGGGGATATCTATATTGCTTCTTAGTGGTTAGAGTACTTGATAAAACTATTATATTTGCCTGATGTTTAATGAGATGACAGTTCGCTGTCAGCCACCACTTTGGGATTATATGTCTTAACCTCAATGTTAACCTCATTGACACAGAGGGGAGCTGCATCAAGCCGAAGGCAGAGTGCTGATGGAAAGCTCTAAAAAGAAAAGACAACATCATTAGGACGTCCAACCAGAGACGCTGTGGGCGTTCAGCAGGCAGAGCAGCAGATTTGACTTTGGTAGCTCAGGTTAAATGAAACATAACCAAAAACATAATCCACACAATATAATAGTATTTAAGGCTGCATTCAATAAGTCAAAAGGTCTGTATCATCTGTGTTGCTCTCTGGAGGGAAACGGCAATATTTTTATTTAATTGTGACTTATTCTATATTATACCCTAATGAGGACTAGAACCAACACACATACACACACCTGGTGTTCCATTATTGATGCTGCATGAACTGCATTTTGTGCAGAGTAGATCGAGGAACAAATGACTACATGTGCGCTGGCTCATGTAGTCATTATTATTCCACATGCTGGTCGTCTGTAATTACACACTCCGGCACATCACATTCCCTCTACAATCTTTCCGTGCTGGTTTGAAGATAATGTAATCACAAAATGAACCAAACTGCTCAGCTTTTGAATTGCAGGCAGAGAGGAGAAGAACGGCTTTGAAGCTGTACGGTTAATATTGATGAGGTGAGATATTTTAGAAGGGGTTTCACTTCTTTCTTTTATTTTGCATCAGCAAGGTCAAAAGCCTAAAATGCATTTCACACTTAGCTCCAGCTGCTTGATTAGTGGATACAGTAGAGAGAGCAGGGCAGACATCTCTAATTACAGACATTACATACCATTCTTTGAGTGAGGATAAATCTTTCTCCAAATGGCTGTGTGAAACAAAGATGTGTGACTACACATTTCTATAGGGATGTTGCTTTCTATGATGGGAAAAGACAAATGTCACTGTTTAATGGTGTATGTGTTCAAGCTCAGTCTAAGCACTAAAGTTAATCAGACAATTAACTTCTGTTGTCATGCAAAAGCTAATAATAATAATAATAAAGGTTTGAGTAAACTTTCGGAGCAAAAGGAATGTAAATCTTGAGTCCACCGCTCACAACATTGTTATAAAATCTTCGTCAAGTTTGTTGTTGCTGCAGCACAGCGCTCTATGCGTTGTACTTCTTGAGCAAGTCACTCTGCCAGTGCCTCTTGCGATCTGGAAACTGTCTGGGCAAGCGGATCTTCTTGAAGTCATCAATGCATCTCTTCAGATCGTCCTCCAGCATCTTCCTCTCATCCTCCTCTTCATTCATCGCCGGCGGGGGGCCACCGTTCTCCCTGATGGAGAGCCGTGGCAGGGTCTTTAGGTTAAGGTTGACGGGATGGGGGGGGGCTCTCAGCTGGAGGCAGTGTTGAGGGACGGGAGGTAGAAAAAGGTTTGGATGAGAGCAGAGGTGGAGACAGGAAGGGAGGTGGCAGAGGTGAAAGGTCGGGGCTGTCTAGAGGAGGAAGAGGAGGGGTCAGAGGAGGGGCTGGGCCCGGGGGCTGAGGGTTTCGTAAGTCCAGAGTTAGGATGCCCCTTTTTTCTGGAAGGCTTGTGGTCCGAGCAGTGCTGCTGGGCTCCGCTATGGCAGATTGGGTGGGATCAGGTTTAGAGGTCGCCGCTTCGGAGAGAGCTGAGGTGTCAAAGGTCGTCTTCTTGGAACTAACTGATGAACCACCTGCAGCAGGAAGAGAGAATAACAGATTAATTTGTATGAATTTTTCATTTTCAAGTAACAATGACACGTCTTTTTGAAGAAAAAAAAATCACGACATTTAATCTATTGATTCGTTGACCAACACGATTTTCCCCTTTTTTCGTGTCACACAGAACGATTTTTAAAAGCAATGTATTTCTATTGGTAGTATGTTTCGTGCCTGCACCAACTGAATTTCAAAATAAAATCACCTGAAACAGACATTTCCGGGACATTTCGATACACACCCAGTCACCCACTGAACTGATTACCCAAGATCCTCAGCTATGATTGAAGCTCGGTGATTGGATGTTTTAGCCGCAATGCACGTTGGGATATGGTGTTAATGCGATATGAAATAACTATCAACATAATTGCGTTGCCAGGCAACAGCTTGGGGTGAAAACAGTATTTCCGGTCTCGAAGTTTGCATAGTAATCTGCAGTACTCATCAACTAAACACATCAGTTTATACTTGTTAATTACACAACATTGATTGGTTTAAATTGTGTACGATGCTTTTGTGTTTTCCCCCTTCGATTCGGAGAAACAAATAGTTTTTCAGAGTTTAGGATGGCGGAAGACACTACACTACCCATAATCCTCAGCTATCGTTTGGGACTACAGTCCCTTTTCTTGACAAACCTTGTGATTAATCTTCAAGCTCTGTGATTGGATGTTGGAGTGGCAGTGTGCCAAGGTTACGCCGAGCTTCAAACAGCTCTATGAAATGGAATGAAACCACGGCAGACTATCCAAAACTGGATTTGAACGGGTCCAGTCCCCCCCCTCCAGAACTACACATGCTGGGTGTTTCGCAACATGTTCTCTATGGCACGTCTCTACTGGGAATTGTAGTTTTAAAAGACGTTTTCGTTTTCCCACGATTAGAAGTTGCCAGTATTAAACTGTGTACACCCCTGGAGGTTTACGGGATAAGAAACATATTGGTGTTATCAAATTTAAAACATATAATTAATAAATGGGTGAAAATTGCTTGTGTCCATAATGGGCAGCATTAATATCCCACATTGTTACTTTGTAATTCTACTCCACTATAATTCAGAGGTTAACCTGGTATTTACTCCACTACATTTATTTTAGTTACTTTGCAGATTCTGATTAATGATGTGAAATATAAACAACGCTAAAATCAGACTTTAGTTACACCTGAGTAAAATTCAGGGAAGGTGATTGTCAAGTGCCAACAATCAGGAGAGATATTAGTTGGTGCTTGAGAAGACAAACATTTATCTGCAGATCCCTATAAAGCATATTCATTACTCGTTATTCTCTACTAATAGTTCATTAAAGACTGTATATAATTTTTATTTCATTGTTTATTTGAAGAGGGACAATGCACATTGATGAACATTTTGAACAATTAATGCTTCAAAATGTAAATATGCCGGATTTGAGCTTTTAGCTAATTTCCATCCGTAGTCCCTCACATACAACATTTAAGAACATGACATTTATATACAAAGCAAAAATAAGCATGAGCAGCATATACAAGCATTAACCACATGGCAGTACAATGTAGCAGCTACGACATATAAAGTGCAAGAGAAGATAAAAGAGCTACATAAAGTGCAAAAGGAGATTAGTTAGTTAGCGGTGATTACACGTCTGTTTGTTTCTCAACCATTCTTTTAGTTGACCTTTAAAACTGTTCAAAGTGGGACAATCCCGTAACTCAGTTGGGAGGCTATTCCAGAATGAGCTGCCCTTAATTGATAGTACATTTTGACTGAAAGTGGTCCGTCTACATGGTGGACTTCACAGTCTCCTCTGGTTTCTGACCTAGTGCAGCATCCAGTGTGTTTTTTGTGGATGAATTCCCCTAAGGGGGGGGGCAGTCCATGTAAACATTTTAAAAGACTTAAAATTGTCAAAACTCAAGAAATTGTGTTTTTCAAGGATGGTAGAGTGGTGGTATGAATATGGCTTTCTGTCAAACACCTTGATAGCTCTCTTGTACAGCTGTTCCGGTGTTTCCCACAGATCTGAAATATACTTGGAGGGGTGGTGGTCGCGGGGGGTGTGGGGGTTGAGGTGACGTGCAACAACATTGACATTAACCGCGATGGCAGAGCGAACAGGTACAGGCAGGGCCCATAGTGATAGCCCTGTAGTTTAAATCTACTACCCACAAATAAACATATGGACATGGGTTACTATTTAAAAAAAATGGTAAATGTATTTAGGAACCTATCAATGTGATTTTAAGTGGGGGTGGACCTCAAATCCTCTAGGGGGTTTATTTTGGAGTTAAATGCATCAATCTGGTGCATTTTGAGGGGCAAATAAAGAGACTATAAACACCTATATGAAACAGAACTGGATACATTTCAATAATCATAAAATCATGGCCATAACCAATAACATCCCATTTCCAATATAAAAAAACCACTGAAACTTGTTTATTTATTTATTTTTGGTTCATTTATAGTTATGAGTGTGTCTGGGCTCCTGAACCAGCCTCTCCTGTCTCCCTCCTCTCCCCCCTGCTCCTCTTTGAGGCAGCAGCAAAGACTAGTTTTTAGCAAGTTTTAACAAGTTTTAAAAGTGTATCTTACCTTTTTTCACCTAGTTAACTTTTTATTTTGTATTCATGCATATTTTACCAATCACTCTCCCTTCAAATGGAAATATGTGTTTACATAAATGGTGACCAAACCGTTTGAGACCCACTGAGAACTTAGACTAAGTTAACTATCTAAACACTCAGAGAGACCTTTACCTCACCTGAGCTGAGGTTATCCCGAGCTTGAATGACACACAGAGACCAATCAAGGGCTTTGATTTATGATCTGTATGACAGTGGCCATGTCGGCAGGCCACATCATGTAGACAGCCAGTCACCCTGTGTGAGGCAGGCCACTTAACAGGCCAGGCCATCGGGAAACCCCCCAGTCCTCCCGATGGCCAGTCCGGGACTGGGTACAGGAGGAGAGCAAGGGATCATTGTCCACAAGTTAATCGATCACAGATGGCATCGTGGTCACAGACGAAAAAAAAACAAAAAAACAACAACAACACAAAAAACCTAAATGGGTCGCGAAATATACTTGGGCGGCCGTTAATATTCCTGGGCGGCCCGCCCAAGTATAGTCTATGTGTGGGAAACCCTGAATTGTTCTATTGGTTTCAGGTTTGTGGCACAAGCAAACGACCAGTTTGTCAAACAGTATTCAATGTGGGATAGAATCATACAGTGGAGGTATGACTTTGCAGCATTGACAGTTAAGAAAGGTTGAATTTAATGGTGTTGGATACTTTCTTAATTATGTTTCTTAAAAGTCAAGTTTGAGTCCAATATGACTCCAAGATACTTAAAGTGGGGTACTAGTTCTAATTCTGCTCCGTTTAAAAACACATTGGATGCTTCGATTTTGACTGGTCGTTTACTGAACATCATGCATACTGTTTTTTTTTACATTTAACTGTAAGCAAATGTTGTTCAGCCAGTGTTGAACCTTGTCCAAAGCATTAGAGAGACAAGATGAGATCATTTCAGTGGGTTTGCCATGTACAATGATGACTGCATCATCGGCATACATTTGCACATTCAACTCAGGACATACATTAGACAAGTCATTAATGTACAGTGAAAACAGTAATGGTCCAAGAATGGAACCTCAGATGGCGGGAAGAGCTTTGTAATATCCAGAGCACTATTTATGCAATACTAATTTAGAGACCTGGCCAACACTGCAGGGTCTTTTATCAGGGCATCATTGATTTTTAATTCTAGAACATTATTTTCCTGTTTTGTATGTTTACCTAATAGTTTATTTAAGATTTGCCAAACTTTTTTACCGTTACCTTTCGCACCTTCAATTATATTGATGAAGAAGTTCGCTTTGGCCTGTCTTATTGTTTGTGTTACCTTGTTACGAGCATGAGTGAATTTCTGTCTGTCAGTGTATAGTCCGGATTTCAAGCTCTGCTTTAATAGTTGGTCTCTAGATTTCATGAGATTCCTGCATTGTAGATTCAGCCAGGGAAGATGATGTTGCTTCCTGTCCCTAAGGCACCCTCTCCTTGAGAAGGAAGATTGTATCATTACTTTTAGATATTAGCAGATTACTGTTTTCACCAATATCTTCAGTGTCCCCCCAATCAATCATTTTCACTGCATCCATAAAATGTTGTTGCAGATTTTTGGGGATGAAGCGAGAACCAAAGGCAGGGGTTTTAGGTGTGGCCATGAAGCTTTTTTTGTGAGTTTCCTGGTAAAAAGAATGAGATTATGGTCAGAAAGACCAGTCAGGAAGTTGTAGGTTTTAACTATTCTGTCAGCTTTGTTAGTAAATACTCAATCTATCTAGTCTTGGAGGTTTTAGTTATTCTAGTCGATTGATCCATTAGTTGTATTAAGTTGTGTTTATCCGTGATCTGTTTTAAGTTCTTTCTATTTTGTTTGTCATTCCAGTTTATGTTAAAGTCTCCTAAAATGATTAGTTCTTTGTTGGAGTCACAGGAATTCAGCAAGAGTTTTACCTGATCATAGAAATCCACCTTAGCGGTGGGTTGTCGATATAGGCAAATCATGGTGAGGGACATTTCCTCAGAAAGGGTGATTTCCACACCAACACAATCAAACTCAACATTAGCTGGAAGAGCAACCTCCCTACAAATAATGGTATTCCTCACATAAAGCAACACACCCCCGCCTTTTCCCTTCAGTCTGTCCTTCCTAAACACATTATATCCTGACATAGATACAATAGTGCATGGTGAAGACTGTTTTAGCCGATATTCCCAAACAGTCAATATTGGACTCAAGGAGGAGATGTTCTAACTGTTCATGTTTATTGCAAATGCTGCGGAAATGTAAATGTCCACTGAATAGTCCCTTCGGCTTGCACCGAGGATCCCACACTATTTTGGCTTGATTCACTGTTTGAAACATTTTTGTGTAACAGTGTTCTTTAAATACCGATACACAAGATGTTCTAAGGTTTATTGACATAACA